TTTTTTCCTTTGGTTGCACATTTAACATAGATGCAAAATCTATTGGACCCCAAATCTTTTTATTTTAATGTCTGAGCCCACTTGATTTCCTTAGAGCCAATTACAATAGCCACAACATAAAAACACTTGTAACTGGTGGTCCTCTGTAGCTCAGCTGGTAGAGCACAGTGCTTGTAATGCCAGGGTAGTGGGTTTGATCCCCGGGACCACCCATACACAAAAATGTATGCACGCATGACTGTAAGTCGCTTTGGATAAAAGCGTCTGCTAAATGGCATATTATTTATTATATTATAGCTGTATTCATTTTTGTCAGGCAGGACCATACAGCACTGAAAGAGAGCAAATTTGACTTGGGAAGTTGTCTATTGAACAGCTGTCAAAAAGTTAAGTTTACATTCATCATACATATTCATAGTTGATATTTCCGCATATTGTATCTTTGTGTTTACAGGTCTATATATCCATGCTTTAAGATATACTTTTTTTGTGATTAAATGTTTATTGAGTTCACACAACAACAACAACAAATAATTTATAAAAAATAAAAAAGAACATCAACAAAACAAAAGAGACGTAACACACAGCCAACACCACACAATGTTATACATGCAGCTCCAGGCCATGAAAAATCACAGAAGTAAAATACAATTGAATGTACAAATCTGGTCAAGCCTCCCACCCACCTCCTGCCAACAGCCCGTAGCAAACTTCTCAAATAGTAGAGATAGTCAAAAACAAACAAAAAAAGGGAAGAAAATAGAGGTAAGTAAGCCTACCAGTGGTCCCTTATGACGGAGGATATCTCTGCCCAAGCCTGCACTGTGGACGGCCTCGTCCGATTAAGTTTAGCTGTTGTGCATTCCAAATTAACATTATTCTGCAAAACATTAGTCCAGTAAATTTCAAGAGCCAGCCCCGAATTCCACCATACTGCAAAATGGTTTTCTTTGAATAAGTGTCATTCTGCAGGCACAGGCAAGGACCTGGGATCACCAATCTGGACAGCACCGAGCATATGTCTCTCCAAAATGTGTGTATAATTGAACAATCTCAGAACATATGCGTAACAGTACCCACATTATTGTTCGTACAGAGTGTGCAGTTTGGATTTGTTATTATTTTAATCAGAAAACGTTTATATGGAGTTGCATATGCTCTGTGAATGAATTTGAAGTGAATGAGCTGATGGCTAAAATTCTTAGATGCCTTGCTCAGATTTGACCATGTCCTATCCCAATCAGGGGTTGATCCCATCCTCTCCAACTCTGTCTCCCATACAACCTCCATGGGTCATTTCTTATAAGTCTTCCCTGTAAGTGTGCCGTTTATCTCTGCTGCTAGCCCTCTAGAACTCCTATCTGGACCTATCCAGCCTGCCATTGGTGTTCTGACAAGGGCAAATTCCAGGGTACAGCATAAGCTTTCATTGCTGACCTTAACTGCAGATACAGAAAGTATGAGGATCCTGGCAGGGAATAGTCGTCTTTAATATCCTGAAATGTGCGCAAGCCAATCTCACTATAAATGTCCTTCAAAACATAAACACCCTTTGAAGACAATGAGGCATGTGTGAAAGGATGTCCACCTGTCAATAAATGGAAATTGTTCCATATTGGATATAACTGACGGAATTTTGTCTGATGACCTATGATCTATCAACCCCAGCAAATACTAACTCTTCTAGTCTATGGGGTTTAACCAGAGCAGATTCAATAGCTCTCCAAGGTAAAACTGATTGACGATCCATCCACACTCGTAATGCTCTTATTTGAAAAGCCCAATAATAGAAATTGAGATTCGGAATCCTCCTGTGCATTTAGCACGCAGCAAAGTAGTGAGTTTGACAACAAAGGGATCATAAAGAATAAAAAGATAACCCGGGGCAAGATATTCATTTTCACTGTGGTAACTCTGCCCTGTAACGATATAGTTAGATTAGACCACCTCTGCAAATCCTCCTTCATTTTTTGCAAAAGGCCACAGAAGTTGTCCCTAACAATTTTCTGCAGAGTAGGATGTATTTTAACCCCCAAATAAGTAAAGCTGGTGCTTATTGGTACTAAGGCACTGCATCGCAGTGCTAACTGTGCCACTAGAGATCCTGGTTCGAATCCAGGCTCTGTTCGCAGCCGGCCGCGACCGGGAGACTCATGGGCGGCGCATAATTGGCCCAGCGTCGTCCAGGGTAGGGGAGGGAATGGCCGGCAGGGATGTAGCTCAGTTGGTAGAGCATGGCATTTGCAACGCCAGGGTTGTGGGTTCGATTCCCACGGGGGGCCAGTATGAAAAATAAAAATAAAATAATGTATGCACTCACTAACTGTAAGTCGCTCTGGATAAGAGTGTCTGCTAAATGACTAAAAATGTAAATATCTCTCTGAGCATGGTGAAGTTTTTAATTACACTTTGGATGGTGTATCAATACACCCAGTCACTTCAAAGATACAGGCGTCCTTCCTAACTCAGTTGCCGGAGAGGAAGAAAACCACTCAGGGATTTCACCATGAGGCCAATAGTGACTTTAAAACAGTTACATAGTTTAATGGTTGTGATAGGAGAATACTGAGGATGGATCAACAACATTGTAGTTACTTCACAATACTAACCTAAATGACAGATTGAAAAGAAGGAAGCCTGTACATAGTAAAAATATTCCAAAACACGCATTATTACAAAACTGCAAAAACATGTGGCAAAGAAATGAACTTTATTTATATCCTGAATAAAAAAGCGTTATGTTTGGTGCAAATCCAACACAACACTGAGTACCACTCTTCATATTTTCAAGCATGGTGGTGGCTGCATCATGTTATGGGTATGCTCGTCACCGGCAAGGACTAGTCTTACAGTGCATTTAAAAACATTAACATGTAGTGTGCGTGTGTGTGCATCTATCAGTTACACATACACACAACAAGTAGGTCACATGGGGAGATGCATTGTGCTGTGAGGTGTTGCTTTAAAATGGTATGGTTCAAGAAATAAATTGTTTAATCTAACATGTCTAAGCAGGAATGCATGATTCAAGATATTTTGATGTGCAACATAAACCAGTGATTGTCATGAATTTTACTATTGTTGCAATATTTTACTGTTAAAATAGGGTTTATTAATTTGGGCCTAATTCACCACCTGAGGAAGAGGTGAGCTAAATCGCTAACTCGAAATATAGCCTAATATTGCTGATAGTTAGCCGTGTAATTGATATCTAACAGTCGATTTAAATGTATAGGCCAATGCACTCACCGTGAATGGCCTATCCATAACTCAATAGTTCAAAATATAAAATGTAGACCTACAGAAAGCTGGGACTCTTTTCTTTAACAGTAACAACAGTGGTTGCTTTCAAAATTGTGTTTTCCCCGTGATTGTAATGCACAATCAGAAAGCATCTTTCTCTCCTGCTACTCAGAGCACAGAAAGGAGAGAGTGAAAGTGCACTGTAAACAGCAGAAATACTGTGGGGGCCATACTTGTGAACTTTTGCTTGGACAATGGTTTAAACCATTGGTCTAAACTGGCTAGCTGCTAGCTTTTCTCATAGGACAAACCTGGCCAAATTAGCCATGATGCTTAGGATGGCCAGCTGAGCAGAAAATTATATCCGGTAACAAAATAACGAATCAACCTATCAGAGACCTTAAATGGTAGAGCCACCATCAAATTGCATTTGTTCAACTGGTAAATTTGGCCACCAAAGGCAGATTGTTAAATCATCCAACTGCTTGGTTTAATTTGTTACCCATGGTCTAAGTGGAGTGTGACAATATATTTTAGTATGATGCTTCCTTGACTAGGCTACTATGTGACAATAAAACATTAATATTATTATTACTGACGTCCTACAAAATTGAAAAGGGTTTTCGCATCCAAGACCAAATTACACATTTTAGCTCATCCATTTAACACACATCCATGTACTTTTAAAGAAAAAAGTAAGACGATTATATAACTTTGTATTCAGACGTTGTTAAAGTTGAAGGCGATGACTCATGGTGTTGTCAAATAGCAGCAATTTACCCACTACTTCTAGCCTGGAGTGGTGGAATGATCCACTGAAGTGATCTACTCCACGGTGTTGACATATGGGGTCTGTGAGTTGAAATCCCATTCGGGCAAGATTATTTTAAAAGGAGAAAGCCCTCCACTGCTGGTCTATGAGTGAAAAACCGCAAATGTGACAAAGTAGCAGTTTATCAAAATGCATATATAACCTTGTACAATTAAGTGTACACTTGTCATTTCACCTATATGTATTGTAGTGACACATATTTCTGTATTAGGCCTGTCCTATAGCCTGTGTTTTGGTCTGAGTGACTCCAAGAAGCTCCTTTCATTATTCATTTACTACAAGTTGCCTGCTCTTCAATTCACAATACAACCACAATTAGTGTAAGCCTAATAAATATTTGAAGTGTAGGCTACACTAAAGGTTATAGCAAGGTGGGCACTATCTGGTGTGAATGTGTGCAACGTTCAACCTATAGTAGGCTAGGCTTGCCTATATCAACACAATTTTGGGACACGATAGCCTAACGTTGGTTTAAACCGACGTTAGGCTATCGTGTCCCAAAATTGTGTTGATATACGTTAGCCCAGCTAATAACACATCCATAACCATAAAGATAGCTCTATTATTTTATTAGGCTAGTCAGTCAATAGCATGTGTTACAGAATTGACAGGAAAGCACGATCAGATTTAGTGTATTTTACTGCATCGGCTTCATAAATTGTGAAGCAAGGAGGCCAGGTTGGCCTGTGAGAAAAACTAACAGCTAGCCATTTTAAACCCTCGTTTAAACCATCGGTCTAAGCATGGTTCACAATTCCATGTGGAGTCTAGACAACTGTCTGATTGACCAGGTGTACTTGTTTTGGAAGCCTTACCTATTCATTGAACCAGTTTGAATACAAAAAGACATCATCCACCCTTGGTGGACGATCAGCAGGACAATAGAATCGGTGTTGAGAACGTGAGAAGTCTTGAGGGTGCACTAAATGACAGCAACGCTGAAAAGTTTTCAAGTTTGTTTCAAAGTAATCCAACATGTAAGACTTCAACTGTAATTAAATTACATTTTATTTTTGGGGGGAATCTGGGTTGATCATTACAGTACATTTTAAAAATCAGATTACGTAATCACTGTTACATGTAATCCATTACTACCCATCCGTGGGAACTAGTCATCCACAGACCGGATTGGACCCCTCCCCGTGGGCCTGATCCAACACCTCTGATCTAACATCAAGTTGTAAAATCCTGAACTTCCCCTTTAACATATAGTACAGTCAAACTGCATATTTTGTGTTTGTCACAAATAATTCCTCTTTTCCATAATGTATTTGTGCAATAAACAGTAATACACCCACCAACCCAAATGGATCTACAGTTTATTTGTTACAAATTCTCACATTTGTCGGCAGCCCACTACGTAAAGTATAAGGCATTACATTGTATTGCATCTGCGTACCATGAAATCACCTCCCTTTTCAATGTCATATAAAGGGCAGGCAAAAGGACAAGAAAGTGATTGCACTAGTTGCTGCACATTTAACGCACAGGCAATTCCCCTTTTCAATAACACTGAACCACTGGGAGTTCTAGGAATGTCAGGACAAATAAACAGAAGTTTCTGACAGCCAGAGACTCCTCAATTGATTGTTGGTTCCAACATAACAATAAGGCATACAATTTTAAACGCTTCTGAACTCCCCATCCCTTAACAAAATGATAATTTTTTGACTGCAAACTACAGTACAAGAGAAAAAGAGGGGGGAAAAGTAAAATAATTATGGCATTTTGGCAAGTTGTGGGATGTTCATTCGGTCTTCTTAGACGGATGTCCCTTCCTTTGGTTGCTTGGGCTCCTCCTGGTGGAGAGAAAGTACCAAAAACAAATAGGACTTTGAATAAATCACTGTACAGAGACATACAAAGACCATCTGATAAATAGTAACGAGGGCCCTAACAAGTCTAAACCACTGCCTGGACTCTGACAACTAGGGATGGGCGTATGTACAGTATACCAAAATATCAATACTGCCCAATCCAAAACTGACATGTTCTGGTATCGATACTCTGCACACTTTTCTCTTGATTTAAGCATTGGTGATCCAGAGCAGAGATAACTCGGCTCATTGGCTGTATTTGCAGCTGTGCTTCTTCCGTATTCATGCATTTTTAATCCTCCCTTTTTAAACCAATGGTATCGATATCGGCAATAATAGCCTGATAAATACTTCATATCATATCAAGATTGAAATGGGCAGTAAAAATAAAGTTGTTTCATGTTGAAATTATCCAACCCTTGGGGTCGGTTTGCCGGACCCAGATTATGCCTAGTCCGGGGCCAAAAATTATTCTCAATTGAGAATCTCCATTGAAAGTACATTTTAGTCCAGGACTGGGCTTGTTCTGAATCCGGGAAAACGGCCATATGTGTCTCAATCTATTCAAGTGCTACTTTAGCCCTTCCTAATCACCTAGGGCCCGATTCCGATCCGAGTTAAGTGTGCGTAAATGGAACGCATTTCCATTTTTAGGCACTTTTATATATTCTGACCTTGAACTTAAGCATGAGAATAGCGTGAAATGGAGGTGTGTCTACAGATACGCCATATTCTGACCTTGACTTAATCCCACCACCTTTATGCGTGAGGAAAACATGAATAACGTCTAGGGGACTACTGGTTCCAAGTGGAAAAAGCATCCATAATTTTTTTTCAAATAGAAATAACACCATTCTCCATGCACTGTAATTTACATCTTGATAAGAGCTAGGTAAATGAGTTTCCATTTGGATAAGGGAGTTGTAAATATGACACTTGTTTTAGATACATTTTACCTTCTAATCGCTGGAGACAAATGTGAACAGTCATATGGCAGCAAACTGAAGCATATCAACTTTCTGTGCCATGATGTATAGCCTTTTAACTTGCAGGGCACTCTCAAATATCCTAATTATAGGATTCCCCGACTTTCTCAGTTTCCTAATTTTATCATGTTAAATATTAGCCACTATCAGTAACAACCGTCAGCAGGTCTAATAACATATTAAACTGCCAATTTACTGTTCGTTCCGTTCAGTTGGTATAGCCTACATTATTCAATTTAATGATAGTTTTGTTTACCTTCATTTGCTTCCTCTGTAAATGGTGTCATGGCCATGTGGTTGTTGCTGAGGATCATTAGTAATAGTTGATCATATTTATCTTTTTAAAGACATAGGCTAATTAAATCGTTATGGAGCGGAGCGCAGACCAAGCAATAACAGTTTGAATCCGACGCATGGCAGGCAATAGATGAGGGTATAGCCTACTATTGTACACTATTCTCCCTATTATAATTATATGTACACTAATCTTCAAACATTAACATGGGTTAAAGAACTGAAAATTTCGTCCAGGGTAGGGGAGGGAATGGCCGGCAGGGATGTAGCTCAGTTGATAGAGGGTTGTGGGTTCGATTCCCATGGGGGGCCAGTATAAAAAAATATGTATTCACTAACTGTAAGTCGCTCTGGATAAGAGCGTCTGCTAAATGACTAAAATGTAAATGGGAGGGTTTTCAGCGGTTGAATTACATTTATTCAGCGTGCGCAAGGGAACCACACCTGCAAAGCCTGTTACGCACCTTAAAAGGTACACTACATGAACAGTATGTGGACACCTGCTCGAACATTGCATTCCAAAATCATAGCCATTAATATGGAGTTGCTCCCCCCTTTGCTGCTATAACAGTCACCACTCTTCTGGGAAGGCTTTCCACTAGATGTTGGAACATTGCTGCGGGGACTTGCTTCCATTCAGCCATAAGAGCATTAGTAAGGTCGGGTACTGACGTTAGGCGATTAGGCCTGGCTCGCAGTCGGCGTTCCAATTCATCCCAAAGGTGTTTGATGGGGTTGAGGTCAGGGCTCTGTGCAGGCCAGTCAAGTTCTTCCACACCGATCTCGACAAAGCATTTCTGTATGGACCTCGCTTTGTGCATAGGGGCATTGTCATGCTGAAACAGGAAAGGGCCTTCCCCAAACTGTTGCCACAAATTGGAAGCACAGAATCGTCAAGAATGTCATTGCATGCTGTAGATTTAAGATTTCACTGGAACTAAGGGGCCTAGCCTGAACCATGAAAAACAGCCCCAGACCATTATTCCTCCTCCACCAAACTTTACAGTTGTCTCAATGCATTGGAGCCGGTAGCGTTCTCCTGGCATCCGTCAAACCCAGATTTGGCCGTCGGACTGCCAGATGGTGAAGCGGGATCATCATTCACATTTCCACTGCTCCAGAGTCCAATGGCGGCGAGCTTACCACCACTCCAGCCGACGCTTGGAATTGCGCATGGTGATCTTGATAAGAGCTGGTGATCTTAGCCTCCCGATGAACAGTTCTTGTGCTGACGTTGCTTCCACCGGTCCCATTCTGTGAGCTTATGTGGCCTACCACTTTACGGCTGAGCCGTTGTTGCTCCTAGATGTTTCCACTTCAAAATAACAGCACTTACAGTTGACCGGGGCAGCTCTAGCAGGGCAGAAATTTGACAAATTGACTTGTTGGAAAGGTGGCATCCTATGACGGTGCCACGTTGAAAGTCGCTGAGCTTTTCAGTAAGGCCATTCTACTGCCAATGTTTGTCTATGGAGATTGCATGGCTGTGTGCTCGATTTTATACACTTGTCAGCAACGTGTGTGGCTGAAATAGCGGAATCCACTAATTTGAAGGGGTGTCCACATACTTTTGTATATATAGTGTAAGTCTTTATACCAACTACTGAGAAGTGTGTAGGAAAGGCGTGCGTAAGAAATGCGTAATTTCCTAAGTCGGAATCGGGCCCCTACAGCATAGTGCATACTTCTAGGGTCTGCAGAGCATTAATAACGGTCCACTATACTCTGTTGAATATAGCCACATGCCACCAAAAGAGTTAAGCCCCCTACCTACACTGGCATTCGATTGAAACCCAAACATGGGAATGGGGGGGGAAAGGGTTTTCCATAGAAGACATAAGTGTCTACACCCACACAGTGTAGGTCTATGAGCTGTGGTGGGCCTGCTAAATAAGGTGGTGCAGTGTGGTTGGCCTACCTTCCCAACAAGCTGGCTCTGCAAGGTTTTGACGGTGTCCTGCTCTTTGGCGAGCTGCTCCTGGGTGGCCTTGAGCATCTGCTGGAGCTTGGTTGCCGCCTGGCCAAAGTCCTTGGTTAGCTTCTTCTCTTTCTCCAGCCTCTCCTGGATCATTCAGAAAACACACAAAATAAAGTTATTCTAATTCTTAAAATACTTATTTAATATCAACGGAGAGGGGAGGTAGCCTAGAGGTTAGAGAGGTAGACCAGAAGCCAGAAGGTTGCATTATTATTGGTAGTGTGGTATTTAATGTGAAAATACCAATAGGAATTATTTGTACTTTCTGGTTATTACTTTTAATCATTGAACCAAACTGGTAACTTCTTGGTAACAATTGGTACTTCCTGGTATTCATTATAATGAATCCCCAAGTGACCGAGAAGTAATTATTGAGAAATAATTACGTCGAACTATGTTAAGTAGTTTCTAAGTGATTACCAGGTAATTAGTGGGGCAATACCAAATGTATTTTGTACTAGAAATGTGTTACTAGTAGATTGTTTTTTGTTTTTACATTGTAGTGTGACATTAAAGCTGCCGGACTCACAATAGCAACTATGAATTTGGCTTAAAGCCATGAGGCTGCCCACCACCCAGTGGGGAACCACAATGGCCTTCAGAGAAGGCCTAAGGATCTATAAACATGTATATATACTTATTTAACATTTATTTTTCATCTTTACAATACTTATAATAATATTCTGACTTCATCTCTTCAGTTTGTGTTAGAAAGAGAAGGCTTAATACGAATAGAAAAAAAAGATCCAAATCAGGATTTCCTTTGGTGATCTCTGGGTAGAAAAATCTAGCACAGCCAGCCATTGGCTAGGCCTTCAGAAGCTGGACAGAAGGCCTCTGCCATTCAACTGTATTAGAGCAGAATTTTGGAGTGACAGTGGAACGAACCAATCACATTTTGACTTGCAATGGGTGGGACTTTTTTTTTTTTGCTAATGTCCTAGGCCTTCTCATAGACACGTTACTACTGAGAGTGCAAGAGGTAATGAATTCATAATACAGAATGAATACGGCAATACACTAATAGGTTATCGTCTGCCAGAAAACCTTAAAGAAGAAGAGGGCACAAGAGAAAAGAATCAGTGTTGCAAGCTTTAGTTTTCCCACGCTAACGCTAGTAACGTTAGCTAGCTTGTGTTGTAGTAGTGTGACAATGGCCACGGTGGCCGCAGCAGCTGTTATCAACTTCAAGGTGGATGTTGTTGCTAATTTGTTAGGGTCACCCTTTTCAAGATTAACTTTCAAACTTTGTTTACAAATGATCACAATCTGGTGAGTGGCACTGTTTTTTGTTGCAGCTCACTTGCTGTTAGCTATCTCTGAAAATAATGACTGAAACATTGTTGCATTTAAACTTTAGATGAATGTGATAAAATATATTTGCAATGGGAAGTAATAGGTGGTTTGTTAATTTCATTTGGAACATGAAATGGTTTTTGCATTTGTATTGGTATGATTTCATGGGGCCTACTGGAGTGAATGGGCTGCTTATTCTTTAACATTATTTGACGTTGTGTGAGACTGCTGTCGCCTGTATCAGCCATGTCTATATATTTGACCAAAATTGTCTCTCCTTCAGTGCCATGGAGTGCACAGGTATTACAGTCGCTGTCCGTTCAGCACCATGAGGCTGTCACCTTTGATGCGACACTGTTGTTGTCGCTATTGGTGATAGTGGTGTAGGCTACCATAAATTGTGTAAACAGTGCAATATTCTATGCTGTGTTTCATGTTGTGTCTATGCCGGTTGTCGCTGTGTGTGCGGCAGCCCAAAGCACGGCCAGGCCTGTTTGATTAACTCCTAATGTCATCAAAAAGTATTCCTCTTCCTTCACTAGAACTAGAATGGTCCGACTACAGAAGATATGTCGGGCGCATTAAGTGATGCTATGTTTTCTGTTATTTTCTAGATTTTTTGGTTTGATAACGTGATGGAAGATTTTTGGTCCCTCTGAAGGCCTAGGTCCTATAGTCACGGTTCGCCACTGCCACCACCACACTAGCGGCTCCAGTTTGGTGTGCCATTACAGAACCATGTCGGAGGTTGTTGATAGCATATTTGGTTTAGATACGAGTCGGAAGCAGCTTTCCTAAGCTATCTAATAGGATGACCTGTGAAGTCCATGTCGGTGAGAGAGGTAGAGAGTAAAGAAGTAAATGAAGACAGTGGTAAGCACCTTGAGTTCTCCTGTGGAGCAGTCTCCTGCTGCCTTCATTTGGTCCATCTGTGTCTGCAGGTCAGTCACGCACTTCTGAGCCTGCAAGGGGAGAGGAAAAAGATTTAAGAACAAAGATGAAGTAAATGGTCGTAGATAGAAATAAAAATGCCATTGGCAATACATCCCAAATATAACGACTGATTGGCTCCAAAGACTGACAGCCAAATGATGTGGTGGTATCCGAGAGGTTGGGAATAACATAAGGTAGCAAAAATAAGAATTCACGTTGGACAATAAAGTTGTACTGTATTGTATGACCGATATGTCACGGGTGAGCGGATTGAGTAAAAGAAGCTGTACGTTTCTGTTCCATACTGTGCTCATCCAGATGTGATCACTGGTGCCCAACTAATGGAATGCATTAAGTAATACATTGAAACATTGGATCAATTAACACTTATCTAACATTCATTTTTTTTAAGGAGATAGGAATTCTGACCTTAAGTGTTTTTATTATTTTTGACAGCACAGCTGGAAATGTAGAGAGGGAGACAGTAGGGGTGTAGACAAAAAGGGTGGCCGAGACAGCACTCCAACCCCCGTTGCCAGGGGTATATTTGGTTGGGAGTTTAGACTGCTGCACCAGACTCCGGCACATCTAACCTCCTTCTTACCATGTCAGTTGTATACTCACTATATCGCGAACATATTAAAGACATTCTGCTGAAACGATGACTTTATTATGACTTACCTGGTCAAAGTCAACGGCCAGCTGCTGTCTCATCTCTTCCTCCGTTTGCATCTTGTTTGTAGTCTGCTCCAGCTGGGTTTGGACCTGAGATAATACACACACAAAAACTGGTCAGTCCAATCACTCCCCCCAGAAAGACCAGGGGCGGTAGGACACAATGTGGTGGCGTATGGGCCAGTCCCGCAGCAAAGTGTGAAGAGGTTTTCCAAAACGGTGAGGTTAGAACAAGTAGACACCTGAAGGGCCGTCTCTGGTTCAGGTGAAACAAGCAAGCTGTGCTGGTCTTCCAAAGTGGTCCGTTATGCAATGTACCAAACAAGCATCAACAAAGAAAAACTCACTCACTCACCACTGAGCTCTGGCTATTTGAAAAATACATTTGAAGGGTGTTAGCGTTTTGCTGTTTCAATCAAGTTTTTCTTACAACAGCCACTGGTGCAGCACCTCAGAATATGGGACTTGCAAACACACACATACATGTTCATGCAAGGAAGCCGACAACTAGAGTTAAATAGGCATTTAATTGCTATAAAACGTTTGCGTTTTATAAAGCACATAGTGTGGTTAACGTATAGCAAAAGCTGCTGCCTTTGAGAACTATCAGACAGAATAGATCATGTGTAATGTGAAATTGTTTTTACACTGGATTCTGCTGCTTCTGATCTGAATGATGTCCACATATTTGTCATAATAGCTAATAACTGAAAATATTAAATATTATTTAATTGTATAAGGGCATAATTACAGCGTGACGACATGCCGTACATTATTATTTAGATACAGATTGGTCTCTAATAGGTGAGTGAACACTATGTGAATGAACACTACATTGGTAGGGTGCCCTAGCCTAGTGCATAAAGGGATATTACACTCCAAAATCAAGATGAGCACCACAAATCTGAAAATTACGTGGTGCTTATCGTTTCCATTCAGGATTGCGGCTTGTAGTCAATTCGATAAATAAATTGTGAGTCTGATAGTTCTCAGCAAGCTTGTGCAGGGTGCTCCCTGTCGGCCAGGCACCCTGACCTGTGTGGGCTCGGAGGCCTCCTGGCTCTGCACGTGCTCCGTCGACTCGCTCAGCTGCTGTCTGACCTGCAACAGGAAGCAATCTGCCACTCAACAAGAAGGCAATGTTGCAATGCTCCAGTTATCTCTTCTTCCTCCCAAAGTGTGCAGTGATTTGGTGTAATCTCCCACAAGCCAATTATTTTAGATTTGTGGGATGTAGTGAACAAATGCACCCTTCAGGAGGAATGAAATACTATTGGGACACACCCAAAGCCCTGGGTCGCGCTCAGGAGGGTTCTTTCACTTAACATACTGAACATTGCAGATAGAAATGCCACAAATCGAGCTGGCATTAACTCTACACATCAGAAACCCATGTCTGTTCTAGACAATGTCTTTCTATCAGAACATAACGTTGTGCCCATCTGAACTCAAACTGCTGTTCAAAGAGGCCAAAGAGCCTTGTTGTTCATTGTCCCCCTCCAACGGCGCAATACAGTTGGTAGAATTGACCACTAACCACTGATACAAGATCAGATATCTTTCATAAGCCTAATGGCAAAGGTTAGTGTAATCTGATCCTAGAGCTGTGGTTGAGGGAAACTTCTACTTGAAGCAGGGGGTCAATAGTAGATTGCTCATTTAAGCCCGCAAACAGCAGAGTCCATCACTGCTGGAGTGGAAATGGCATCATTTTATGGCACTAAAATGACGACTGGCGCGTCAAACCTACCACAGATAGTTCCTCTGCCTGCTTCTGTGCTTCCAATTGGGCTGTCTCCAGCTGACTCTGGGTCTTCGTTAAGAAGGCCTTTAGCTGCAAAGGCAAAGAAGATGTAGACTGTAGCTACAAGCAACCAATGTACAACCCAAGTAGCAAAAAATACATATACAGTAGGTGGATGTTAACGATGTAAAATCTGTGTTTAAACAACTGTATTGCCACACTTGGAAGACTAACCCATGGGGTGCTAAAAGAGATCCTAATCAAAAATAAAATATATGAAAATAAAAGCTGAACGTAGGTCGTGTCCTTTAGGCACAGACCACAACATGACAATGACAAACTGAAAACATTTTTAACCTGAAAACATAATGACCCAGGTGTAATGGCGTGGTTTGCCTACCTGGGCGACCTCCTCGGCGTAGGTCTGGCTACAGCTGATGGACTCCAGCTGTTTCTCCAACTGGGCCTCCAAAAGCATCACCTGCTCTTTCAGCTGCACAAAACACAGGATAATAAGAAACTTTTAAATATCATACTAAAACCAATCAAAAAGCTGGTTTACTCAAGTCTGTGACTGGAAGTAAATCCAACATACAGTACATTAGGGTTTAGATTGAGCTTTGTATCACCATCACAAAACTGGTGCAAAAGCTCTACCTGGTCTGTGCTTTCATTGTCCATCTTCATATCCTCTGCAGCTTGCTCCAACACCTTCACCTGATCCAAAGCCTGCAAGACAAAATTGCTTTTAACTTCGTATCAAGTCATCTTATAGGAAACCATCACGTCTGCTGATATTCAGTAAGACCAGAGAGAGGATTGAAGAAAAATAACTTACTGCTTGCCGTTGCTCCTCAGCCTCTGCAATTTTGGCCTTCCACACGTGCTCCTCTTCCTCCACACTCTTCTGAAGGTCTTTCAGCATGCCCTCCTAAAGGAAGTGTGATAATGTGGGAATGCAGTTATGTGGCGCTGTTATCTTACATCATAATACCTACTTCTAGGTGTAAAGCGAGAGTACAAGTATGTTAGTGCAGCTAGCGATTCTTGCCTGTTTACATTAACCTCTACGGCAGGGTTCTTCAATTCCGGTCCTGGAGGGCCGAAACACCTCTGTTTTTCATCCTCTCCTTCTAATCAGGGGCTAACTCAGACCTGGGAAACCAGGTGAGTGCAATTAACTACCAGGTAGAAATAAAAAACTGAAGTGTTTCGGCCCTCCAGGACCGGAATTGAAGAACCCTGCTCTACGGGATCGGTGTCCCGTATACGGGACGGTTGAGCTAACATGTGGTAATGTGATTAGCATGACTTTCCAGGACATAGACATGTCTTATATGGGCATAAAGCTTTAAATTGTTGTTAATCTAACTGCACTATCCAATTTACAGTAGCTATTACAGTGAAAAAATACCATGCTATTGTTTGAGGAGAGTGCACAACAACAAAAAATGTATCACGGCAACTGGTTTGATACATTCCCCTCTGAAGGTAAATAATGTACTTACATTCAGTAATCTTACTCTGATTTGTCATCCTAAGGGTCCCAGAGATAAAATGTAGCATAGGTTTTGTTTGATCAAATCAATTTTTATATTCAAATGTAGGAACTGGGTTCTACAGTTTGAACCCCTGCTGTCTCTGGCTCCACACCCACCCCGCCCGGCCATCTAGATGTGTGAAAGTTAGTGTATAAGCTAATCATCCATCATGTATGACATTCCTGGGAGTGTGTAAACTTACATTTTGTATTACCATATCATTTTTCTATGTTCTCTATAGTTATGTACTTGAAAATGTATCAATTGACCAATTCGGCACATTTGGGCAGACTTGATACAAAATAGTCCAGTATTGCAATGCTTCACTGGATCAATCTGAAACTTTGCACACACACTGCTGCCATCTAGTGGCCAACATCTAAACTGTGCCTAAACTGCAATATTATATTGTGGCCTTTCTCTTGCATTTCAAAGATGATGGAACAAAAAATAAAATAGAAAACGCATGTTTTTTTGTTTGTATTATCTTTTACCAGATCTAATGTGATATATTCTCCTACATTAATTTCACATTTCCACAAACTTCGAGGTGTTTCCTTTCAAATGGTATCAAGAATACATATATCCTTGCTTCAGGTCCTGAGCTACAGGCAGTTAGATTTGGGTATGTCATTTTAGGCAAACATTTAAAAAAAGGGACCGATCCTTAAGAGGTTAATAAAGCTTACACGTTATTCATGTCACTCCACCTTCTGTATTACACAATCTATTCCCTATCAAGTGCATTGTCGGATATAGGGTGCAATTTGGGACACAAACAAGGGTTTTATCACAGACACGGACACCAAAGTCAAGCTGTGTCCCCCTCAAACTGACTGAAGTTGGATGGAAAGTTAGGCGTTCACACACAGGACCATGGTTTGACTTACCGTTTCAGCCAGGACAGTTCTGTACTGCTCACACTCTGCCTGTAGTGTTTTCTGGGACTCCTCGGCTTCTCTGAGCTTTGACAAAAGCTCCTAAAGAGAAAACAAGCACACAATCATGACAGTGTCTGGGGCTCATCTGAAACACCAGGGCAGGAAAAGCCAAGATGCACTTTTGTTGTCTGTTTCAGGGACGAACATGTAATTAATGTTGAGCAGTAGGCGACTAAATGTCTTCTTATAGCAACAGGTGTAGAGGAACTTCTATTGTTAGTGGTATTTTGAAGCAGTCCAACGTTACAATAATGTTGGTCACTTCAAAATGCAATGCATACACTATAATCAGGGTAAAACACAGGGTCCTCACCTCAGAGTCTGTGGTTTGCAAGTTCTCTTGCTGGACTTCTTGGCTCTGTGGAATTTCAGTAGCCTGTGCTTTCTGGATGAGTAGCTCCAACCAGTTATTCTGTAAAGAATAACACATATCATATCTTATGGTTACAATTAGTAATTGAGGTATTTTAACTACAGAGCTGGAAAAAAATGGCTGCTGACGTAGTCTTGTTTAAGGTGAAATCAATTTTTACATCGGCAAGGATTTACATTGGCAACTTTCCAGAGTGATTTTATTTTCCAAATCCATTCCTGTTAACGACATAATATATTACTGACCACCCTGTTAGTATTGTGTGGGTAAATAAGGAACGAGCTCCAATTCAGACTAGCAAGGAGTATCCACACAGAACAACAAGCTTTGTGCCGGAGAATAATAATTTGAAGTCTGTGTCGGCGATTGCAAACCCAACTAACTTACCTGCTCAGCTTCTAAAGAGATGTCAGGGCAGATCATCTGAAGAGCTTTTTGAGCTTCTGTCTGGAACGAGCTCAGTGCTTCCTCGGCTACGCTCTAGAAATAGACGCAAAGTCAAAGCATCATGAAAGCTACCCATCACAAACCGTATTCACAACAGTGTGCATATGTCTGACGTATCCTCATTTGTCAATGTGAGTGTAGCCAGAGTATTTACAGAGAGTTCAACCGACTTTAGTGCCAGACATCATGTTGCTGCCTCTGAGCATTTCATTCATGATTTGCATTTGGATTCTAGTTCCAAGTTTAGCCATTCAGATAGCCTTGTTGAAAATGGAGAAGATCCCTGACCTCCTATTAGCCAATATTGATCAGGAGGCAGAACCATGGCTGCCATGAAAGGAAAGAGGCAGCATGAAGCGGAGCGCATATATACGACTCTGGGTGTTGCATGCCACTGACCTGTGCACCCTTCGCCACAGCCAGCCTTTCCTCATTCAACTTCTCAGCAGCGGTCAAGGCTTCCATTGCCGCCCAGTTCTTTTCGCGGAGATCCTGTAGGGTACAGCAGAGCATTTAGCATTTCGCTTTCAGCTAAGCCAACACAGTCAAGGGGCAACAAGCATACCTCTCTTTGAGCAACGCAAAACCATCAAACCCACATTACACTAACTTACATTGCTTTTGTTCCTAACTTGTTCCATTTCCTCCTTTAGCCGTTGTAGCTCCTCTTCCAGAGATAGCATCTGGGAATCTTTCTCAAGGCTGAAAACATAACACTCATTAGCAGGGCTGGGGGGAAATTCCATATCAATTACAGTACCAGTTCAGGAATTGAAATTCATTCCTATGGGGAAATACCATTTCAACTGGAATTGACCCCCAACCCTGCTCATTAGATTAAACAATGCATGCACTATTGGGTCAAAGAATACACCTCAAGTGCTTAAAGGCTTAGGAATGGACACATACCTTTCAAATGGCTGTTCGGCTTCTGTCTCACTTCCCGACTCCTGTGTTGGAGAATTGAAAGAATATGCATCATTCAAGATACCAATGGTCACGTTTTTCATCTGACAAAAAGCACATATAGAAAACGTAAACTTTACGCAGTAAAACTAAATCTAGGCCTTACAGAGTAAGACTAAACCTTACACAGTAAGGCTTAACACCACACACACACACACACTTGTGCGCACACAGAGAATAGAAGCCTTACAGCGTTTGCACTCTTCCCTTGCTCCATCTCCTCTCTCAGCTGTTTGAGCTCTTCCTCTAACGAGGCCACTTGGCTCTCCCTCTCCTTCAGACTGCTCTGAAGCTGCTCTGTGTCTGCTGGTCTCTCCGCCTGCACAACAGATTCAATAGAATTCAAATAACTTTACTGATAATACATTTGTCCCATGGGGGAACTTCTGGTGTTGAATGGAACATATAGTACATACACTACCGGTCAAAAGTTTTAGAACACATACTCATTCAAGGGTTTCATTTTATTACTGTCGTTTCTGTTTGCTTATTTGAGCTGTTCTTGCCATAATATGGACTTGGTCTATTACCAAATAGGGCTATCTTCTGTACCCCCCCTACCTTGTCACAACACAACTGATTGGCTCAAACGCATTAAGAAGGAAAGAAATTCCACAAATGAACTTTTAAGAAGGCACACCTGTTAATTGAAATGCATTCCAGGTGGCTACCTCATGAAGCTGGTTGAGAGAATGCCAAGAGTGTGCAAAGCTGTCATCAAGGCAAAGGGAGGCTATTTGAAGAATCTCAAATATAAAATATATTTTGATTTGTTTAACACTTTGTTGGTACCTACATGATTCCATATGTGTTATTTCATAGTTTTGATGTCTTAAATTTTATTCTACAATGTAGAAAATAGTAAAAATAAATTAAAACCTTTGACCGGTAGTGTACACAAATACAGGATTTTAAGAGAGAAATGTTGAATTTGAACTCTAATTTTCCAACAGGTTTGCCAACTTACAGCATCAGTTCTCTTCACCTCCATCTTGGCACTCAACGTCTGCAGTTGCTCTTCAAGGGACGTCACAATGCGCTCTTTTTCCTTAAGGCTGACATGGGAAAACAGAGTTATTAGGTTGTGATATAGTAAGACAGACTTATTTAGAGCACTACAGACTAGACCAGACTAGACAGGGCTAATCAATTATTGTCCTAGAGGGCCAAAACACTTCTGGGACAAGTTCAGTAGGAAAACGTTGTAAACTGTTGCAGATAGAATTGTCATGAATATAGCCGATGTGATTCCTTTTCCTTTACGTATGCATAGTGTTTGTATCTGAACACTACACTGGTTTCATTCTTCAGAGTTGGGACACCAGGTGAGTGAACTCATGGTCTAGTCAATGATAAACTGACCAATTAACCACAGACAGTACTTCGTCCCTAGAGGGCCAATAATTGAATAATAGGCTTGCCATTGGAGATTTGTGCGTACCGGCTAAGTAAGTAAAGTGAATAGTTCATAATAGAACTATAAAATAATAGAAATATACAAAATTCCTCCCATACCTGTTCTGTAGGAGTTCGATCTCTGCCGTGTTGTCCATCTTCACCAGCTGTTCTTCAACAGGTGATTGCTCCTCCTCTTCCATCACACTGACATGCCAGAAAAACATAACTTAATGTTTTTCAAAATCTATGGAATGATGACTTCAGATTCTTGACCAGATTTGATAGTTTTTGGTTTTGGGCAGGGAAAATTCCCATTTGTTGGTCTAAATATGTGGACGAGGCACCAGTAAAGTTTATTTCCCTAAAAGAGTGGGAATTCCAATTAGCCGCTGCTACTCTTCTGGGTCCAAACAGGAAACAAAACCCAACAAATAAAATGCATAATATACACTACCAGTCAAAAGTTTGGACACCAAGGGTTTTTCTTTATTTTTACTATTTTCTACATTGTAGAATAACAGTGAAGACATCAAAACAATGAAATAACACACATGGAATCATGTAGTAACCAAAAAAAGTGTTAAACAAATCAAAATATATTTTATATTTGAGATTCTTCAAAGTAGCCACCCTTTGCCTTTAGTAGTGGTTTCTTTGCAGCAATTCGACCATGAAGGCCTTATTCACGCAGTCTCCTCTGAACAGTTGATGTTGAGATGTGTCTGTTACTTGAACTCTGTGAAGCATTTATTTGGGCTGCAATCTGAGATGCAGTTAACTCTAATGAACTTATCCTCTGCAGCAGAGGTAACTCTGGGTCTTCCTTTCCTGTGGCGGTCCTCATGAGAGCCAGTTTCATCATAGCGCTTGATGCTTTTTGCGACTGCACTTGAAGAAATGTTCAAAGTTCTTGAAATGTTCTGGATTGACTGACCTTCATGTCTTAAAGTAATGATGGACTGTCGTTTCACTTTGCTTATTTGAGCTGTTCTTGCCATAATATGGACTTGGTCTTTTACCAAATAGGGCTATCTTCTGTATACCACCCCTACCTTGATTGGCTCAAACGCATTAAGAAGGAAAGAAATGCCACAAATTAACCTTTAACAAGGCACTCCTGTTAATTGAAATGCATTCCAGTTGACTACCTCATGAAGCTCGTTGAGAAAATGCCAAGAGTGTACAAAGCTGTCATCAAGGCAAAGGGTGGCTATTTGAAGAATCTCAAATATAAAATATATTTTGATTTGTTTAACACTTTTTTTGGTTACTAAATGTTTCCATATGTGTTATTTCATAGTTTTGAGATCTCCACTATTATTCTACAATGTAGAAAATAGTCAAAATAAAGAAAAACCCTTGAATGAGTAGGTGTCCAACCTTTTGACTGGTACTGTATGTAATAGAACAGATACAGTGGTATAGCTAGAGAGACAACAAAGTGAGATGAGACAAGATGTGTGTAATAATAGCAGTGAGGTGCAGGATTGGAACCCACAAGGACACTGTTGTATACATGTGCTGAGGACCGCGGCGCTAACCACTTGGCTAAACCAACCCCAGGCCACATGATATCCCAGTAAAGTTAACATACCCGTTGACCTGTGGCTCCTCAACAGTGTGGGAAGATCTCACCAGCTCCAGTTCAACCTTCAGCTGTTGGAGCTTTTCTTCTAGAGTGGCCACATGACCTTCTTTGGTTATCAGACTGAAAGAGGGAGATAAATAAATATCCCCATTCGGTAGAAAAGGTTGGATACGGAGATTCGATACATGGTATCTAACAGAAATATGACTCAGCGTACCTGATCTTTAGCTCTTCAATCTCAGCAGAGTAGTCAACCTGTTTAGAAACAAGATGGATAGACTAAAGCTCTGAGCATGACGTGTGGCCACGAGGGACCCCCTTTCAAGCTAATGAGCGGTCATTCTGACAGCAACATTTTAACAATGTAATTAATACATTTCATATAGAGCATGATAAAAAATAAATGAAGGCGTTACAATTACAATACATTTTTTTATAATAACAATAGCATTTATTATTTTACCATATAATGACAAAGCAAAAGTAAAAACTGTTTTTTAGACATTTTTGCAAATTTATAAAAAAAAAAACCGGAAATATCACATTTCCACAAGTATTCAGCCCCTTTACTCAGTACATTGTTGAAGCACCTTTGGCAGCGATTACAGCCTCGGGTCTTCTTGGGTATGACGCCACAAGCTTGGTACACCTGTATTTGGGGAGTTTCTCCCATTCTCCTCTGCAGATCCTCTCAAGCTCTGTCAGGTTGGATTGGGAGCTGCACAGCTATTTTCAGGTCTCTCCAGAGATGTTTGATCGGGTTCAAGTCTGGGCTCTGGCTGGGCCACTCAAGGACATTGAGACTTGTCCCGAAGTCACTCTTGTATTGTGTTGGCTGTGTGCTTAGGGTCTTTGTCCTGTTGGAAGGTGAACCTTAGCCCCAGTCTGAGGTCCTGAGCGCTCTAGAGCAGGTTTACATCAAGGATCTCTCTGTACTTTGCTCCGTTCATCTTTCCCTCGATCCTGACTAGTCTCCCAGTCCCTACCGCTGAAAAACATCCACACAGCATGATGCTGCCGCCACCATGCTTCACCGTAGGGATGGTGCCAGGTTTCCTCCAGACGTGACGCTTGGCATTCAGGCCAAAGAGTTCAACCTTGGTTTCATCAGACCAGAGAATCTTGTTTCTCATGGTCTGAGAGTCATTTAGGTGCCTTTTGGCAAACTCCAAGCGGGCTGTCATGTGCCTTTTACTGAGGAGTGGCTTCCGTCTGGCCACTCTACCATAAAGGCCTGATTGGTGGAGTGCTGCAGAGATGGTTGTCCTTCTGGAAGTTTCTCCCATCTCCACAGAGGCACTCTGGAGCTCTGTCAGAGTAACCATCAGGTTTTTGGTCACCTCCCTGACCAAGGCCCTTCTCCCCCGATTGCTCAGTTTGGCCAGGCGGCCAGCTCTAGGAAGAGTCTTGGTGGTTCCAAACTTCTTTCATTTAAGAATGATGGAGGCCACTGTGTTCTTGGGGACCTTCAATACTGCAGACATTTTTTGGTACCCTTCCCCAGATCTGTACCTTGACACAATGCTGTCTCTGAGCTCTACGGACAATTCCTTCGACCTCATGGCTTGGTTTTTGCTCTGACATGCACTGTCAACTGTGGGACCTTATATAGACAGGTGTGTGCCTTCCAAATCATGTCAAATCAATTGAAAATACCACAGGTGGACTCCAATCAAGTTGTAGAAACATCTCAAGGATGATCAATGGAAACAGCATGCACCTGAGCTCAATTTTGAGTCATAGCAATGGGTCTGATGCTTACAGTGCCCTCCACTAATATTGGCACCCTTGGTAAATATGAGAAAAAACGGGCAACGAAATGTTTTTCTTTGCTGTTTATCCTCTTGGTCTTTCATTCAAATTATTCACAAAAATCTAACCTTAAATGTAAGTAAAATTATAGGAAAAAATTAATTTGAAATAAATGAACTATTTTTATCCAAAATGTGTGCCACAATTATTGGCACCCCTAGAAATTCTTATAAGTAAATGAGTAAAATCTAACTTTAGTATATTCCCATTCATATTTTACAAAAAGCTGATGATGTTGTTTTATGCTTTAGATGTAGGGTCTGCCCTCTCAGTGATGACATTCTGTGCTGATAATCGGCCCGTAGCATTGTCACCGGCGTGTTTTATCCAAACGGTGTGGTCCCTTCCTCTGTCCTGTCTCACCGTTTCATTTCGTGGTGGCACTGACACCTGCTCAGTGTGCACCATTCTGGCTTTTTTATGCTTAGGCCTCTGAGGTATAGGTTCAGGCTGAAGCTCAGAATCAGAAGAATAATCAGAGATGTCATGATTAATTTCTTCCCCACCATCAGTCGTTTTTGTTCAGATTTTGTAGCAATGCTTACGCAGCATGTGCAGCCGTTCATCTTAGTCTTCTTGCCATTGTAAATTATGCACGCACTTACTGTGTACTCCAAGTAGGCCAGAGTAGACTGATAAGACTGCTTGGATTCAGTGGACTGATGTAGGGTATATACCATTTTGAGCTTATAATTAGAATAGATCAATACAATAGAATGGCTCGCCCTGTTCTTCAACCACAATTGGTGCATCGTTCGCTTCCCCTCGCTCATCAACTCACCCATTCTCCCACATCATACTTCACTTAATTTATTTAATCTGTTATATGTGTGAAAATCGTTTCAGTATGGTTTAGGTTCAGTTTCGAGGCAATTATCGGGGTGATTATCAACTGGGCACGGCACCTCAAACTGTCGGGAGGAGGAGGGGCAATGGGGGAAAAACATTAAAATGACATGCCCGCCAAAACTGGTTATAACTCCAGTTCTGTTTGTGATATTAAGATTCTAAACAACGACAGCGTGTTATATAGACTTATTTAGGACAAGTCAATGACTTTAGAAATGGCAGAGTAATAATAAAATTAGGTTCTAGTGTTAAAAACAATGGATACTGATTGGTGGTCTACAGGCTTATAGTATAAGGGTTTATTGTCAAAGCTGCCTCATTTATGAACCGTGATTAAATGTCTTACTAAATTCTGGCGTACATCGAGATTCTAGGATGTGTGCGCCAAAAATTATTAGGATTTATCAAACTGTCATTGATAAAATCAGCGCTACAACCCCACCTGGAAAACACCCTCCATTCACCTTTTATGGTAACAAAAACGCCCTCATTTGCTGTATGATTTGGAAATGGGGAGCTTTACTTGGCTCATCGCGTTCTAGCGACTCCTTGTGGCAGGCCGGGTGCCTGCAGGCCGACACATTGGTGCAGCTGGCTTCCAGGTTAAGCGGGCGGGTCATGTTTCGGAGGACGCATGACTCGACCTTCGCCTCTCCCAAGCCCGTTGTGGAGTTGCAGCGATGAGACATCACGAAATTAGGGAGAAAAGGGGGTAAAAACTACAAAGAAATTAATAAATAAAACCATACATCTTATGGAACTGCGGGGGACTGTGAGACACACACAGGTACACGCATACATACACACACACACACACACACACACACACGCACATTGTAATATTGTTCTATAGTGGTATTATACATTTTGTATTGTAGATATGTAGTGGTGTAATAATGTTATATGTACTGTTCTTTCTTTTGTTTTATGTGTAATGTAAGTGCCTTAATGTGTTTGGACCCCAGGAAGAGTACAGTGATGGTTGTGCGCTTATAATCTACAATGTTTGTTTGATTATGGTGATTTCTGTTACAGTCTTACCATTATTGTAGGAGTGGACACGTTGTTTGCAGAGCGCACAACCTCGGCTACACTTTGAGAAAGTTTTGGTTTATTTCATTCCATTTACAAGTTGTGAATGTATTCATTGTCTTGTGTTTGGAGCGCTCCTGTCAATCTTGAGTAAGGACATGCACCTGATTACGCATAGAAGTAGGCCTAGGCTACCTGGCCTGCACGCAAATGTCAGCCTATAAATGTGCCCATTTCGGGATCTGATACCATTTCTGATTGTCTTAACTCACCATAGCTTCAAAGTAATTTTTTCCTTCGCCTCAAACAGCAAGTAAGCAAAGTCTGTTTTTACATCCATTGAGAATGACAATAGTTCAACGTAGCCCATTTGAAAAATCTTTCCAGCTCTCTCCCTATGATAACCACTCAGCATGAAAGTTAAAAAAAAAAACTAATGCTCTGATCCAGTGAAAACATCATAAAATAGGCTTAACTGATTACTTCTTATCCCTTGCACAAATAGCCTACAGCTGTGTCTGTCTGTCCGGAGTTCACTGGCGCAGGAAACTGAGGGCCCAGAACATTTTATACAATGTTGCAAGTTTGCTAGCACGAGTTCCTTGCAGACAGGCCATGCGTTGCCAATGTGATTTATAGGATATTTATTTTAATTAGGATATTTTCGACCTGTGGGCTGCAATGTTTTTATTTGTTGGCTTTATGTAGGCTATTTTTACATATTGGCAAAATAAGTTACTTTTAGATTTGTATCATTTTCATTTAGATAGAATTTTGATTAACCATGACATTGATTGAGATATGAAGACTTTATTATAAATGAAACTGTTCCACGAAAATGTGAAAATCATAACCGGCACGCAGATCCGTAGAAATGGTACGATAACTTGGCACTCCAAATGGAAAATGTTGCCGGCCGCTGATGTAGCCTATTACCGGCAACTTTAGGAGCCTAACGGAAATGGTACGATAACTTGGCACTCCAAATGGAAAATGTTGCCGACCGCTGATGTAGCCTATTACCGGCAACTTTAGGAGCCTAACGGCAGAATCTGCGAAGGTCAGCAGCAGCAGTGGGCAGGAACAGTTTTTTTTTCTTCTGGTTTGGCTATATTGATCTCTGGCTCCCTCTTTAGTAATTTGTGTGTCTTCATTTTTAATCGCAGCGCTTAAAGCGTCAGACAAGCTCAGTAGCCTACATATAGTTGATTTTATTCAAACACCGGGTGTGTCTAAGGAAAAATTTGTTTTAAAATGTTGACCAATCGCTTGGTTGAATGAACAGACAACTCTCGGTCTACCAAGATTTGGTTTTGTTTGGGACAGCCCTAATTAGGCAACATGTTGCTATGCGATCTTCTTACCAATGGCCTAATGCATCCGTTTTATCATTAGGCCTACATTTAATTGTTTTTTATTAGCCTACCACTATTATAATTCCAGTGCATCATAAACCTCAATTTCCCCAAAAATAACAATATTTGCTTGCAATACAGTTGATCAACCACTAGAAGTTGTGCATACTCATGGTCTGAGATTCACGTGGAGATACGTATACTTTGCAGGAAAAATGGCGCCCGCAAGGTTTAGAGTATTTTTTGTGCACATGCACCTTTGATAAATGAGGCCCCTTTGCTTTGACAAAACAAAAAACAGGTAGATCTGAAAGTATTGGATTGGTGTAAGCAATATGGTTACAACTCCACCTGTACTCTGACAGGTGGAATGTCGGCCATATTGCTTATACCTATCCAAATATTTTCCGATCTACAAGACTGCTTAGGGGCCAGGGGTTGATTTGGAATTGTGTCTACAATCTAAACTATTTGCAGCTGGGGGAAAATAAAAAACAGGCCTCTGGAGCTTACTTGGATTTCGGTGGCAGTGGGGGTCTCGGTAACACTTTCCGTCACAGTCTCCTGCTTTTCGGTGGGGGTTTCAACGGCAGCCTCCAGTGGGGCAGTCTGCTCCTTGGCAGCCTCCTCCACAGCTGACACTACTGCCTGTTGGGACTTAAGGTCCTCCAGCTCGGCACAGCGCTCCTTCAGCTCGGCCTCCATGGTGGCCATGCGCTCCTTGAGCTCTGTGGAGATCCAAGTTTTATTCAATTTAATTCAATTCAAAACCAGAGCCTAGTCTGCCAAATTTGTATAAATCCACACAAAAAAGGACAAAAAAAATGAGAAATGTGGCGAAGAGTAGAGAGATCAGTATGAATCTAAATCTAAAAGCAAATCTAAATAATAAGGTATCGGGAACATAGCTGTGTGTGAGAGACCTCTCCCACTTAGTGCAAGGCTTTTCCTGTGATGGTTAGGGTTAAAATAGAGGTTAGAGTGACTGGGTTAGCGCGACTAGCACTGTTACAGAGTAGCAGGTTATCATGTGGTCAAGGTATGTAACCAGTGAGGTGGGGTCCACTGACCGGCGAAGGCGGTGGCCTCCTGTTGAGCCTGGTCTAGTTGGGCCTGCATGATGTTGCTGGTGTCCTGGGACTTCTGGAGCTTCTGGCTCACCTCCTCCAGCCTCTGCTGCACGGCCCGCTCACTCTCCGCCTGGCACGCCTGTGAATGAGCACGGCAACAACTTATTATCATGTGCAATGAGTCTATTATGTATGCGTGTTCCTTATATAAGATGCATAAGAGATCTGGGGCCGTTCCAGAAAGCTGTATCAATGAGTTAACCAGAAATGCCTTGAAATAACTTGATCATTTTGAGAAATAGACCTAAAATAATTGACATGACAGCAACAACCATTTGTAACAAGTATTTGATACACTGTCGATTTTGCAGGTTTTCCTACTTACAAAGCATGTAGAGGTCTGTAATTTTTATCATAGGTACACTTCAACTGTGAGAGACGGAATCCAAAACAAAAATCCAGAAAATCACATTGTATGATTTTTAAGTAATTAATTTGCATTTTACTGCATGACATAAGTATTTGATCACCTACCAACCAGTAAGAATTCCGGCTCTCACAGACCTGTTAGTTTTTCTTTAAGAAGCCCTCCTGTTCTCCACTCATTACCTGTATTAACTGCACCTGTTTGAACTCGTTACCTGTATAAAAGACACCTGTCCACACACTCAATCAAACAGACTCCAACCTCTCCACAATGGCCAAGACCAGAGAGCTGTGTAAGGACATCAGGGATACATTTGTAGACCTGCACAAGGCTGGGATGGGCAACGGGACAATAGACAAGCAGCTTGGTGAGAAGGCAACAACTGTTGGCGCAATTATTATAAAATGGAAGAAGTTCAAGATGACGGTCAATCACCCTTGGTCTGGGGCTCCATGCAAGATCTCACCTCGTGGGGCATCAATGATAATGAGGAAGGTGAGGGGTCAGCCCAGAACTACACGGCAGGACCTGGTCAATGACCTGAAGAGAGCTGGGACCACAGTCTCAAAGAAAACCATTAGTAACACACTACGCCGTCATGGATTAAAATCCTGCAGCGCACGCAAGGTCCCCCTGCTCAAGCCAGCGCATGTCCAGGCCCGTCTGAAGTTTGCCAATGACCATCTGGATGATCCAGAGGATGAATGGGAGAAGGTAATGTGGTCTGATGAGACAAAAATAGAGCTTTTTGGTCTAAACTCCACTCGCCATGTTTGGAGGAAGAAGAAGGATGAGTACAACCCCAAGAACACCATCCCAACCGTGAAGCATGGAGTGGAAACATCATTCTTTGGGGATGCTTTTCTGCAAAGGGGACAGGACGACTGCACCGTATTGAGGGGAGGATGGATGGGGCCATGTATCGCGAGATCTTGGCCAACAACCTCCTTCCCTCAGTAAGAGCATTGAAGATGGGTCGTGGCTGGGTCTTCCAGCATGACAACGACCCGAAACACACAGCCAGGGCAACTAAGGAGTGGCTCCGTAAGAAGCATCAAGGTCCTGGAGTGGCCTAGCCAGTCTCCAGACCTGAACCCAATAGAACATCTTTGGAGGGAGCTGAAAGTCCGTATTGCCCAGCGACAGCCCCGAAACCTGAAGGATCTGGAGAAGGTATGGAGGAGTGGGCCAAAATCCCTGCTGCAGTGTGTGCAAACCTGGTCAAGACCTACAGGAAACATTTGCTCTCTGTAATTGCAAACAAAGGTTTCTGTACCAAATATTAAGTTCTGCTTTTCTGATGTATCAAATACTTATGTCATGCAATAAAATGCAAATTAATTACTTTAAAATCATACAATGTGATTTTCTGGATAAAAATTACAGACCTCTACATGCTTTGTAAGTAGGAAAACCTGCAAAATCGGCAGTATATCAAATACTTGTTCTCCCCACTGTATATAGATAAAGTGGGGGAAAAAAGTATTTAGTCAGCCACCAATTGTGCAAGTTCTCCCACTTAAAAAGATGAGAGAGGCCTGTAATTTTCATCATAGGTACACGTCAACTATGACAGACAAATTGAGATTTTTTTTCTCCAGAAAATCACATTGTAGCATTTTTTATGAATTTATTTGCAAATTATGGTGGAAAATAAGTATTTGGTCACCTACAAACAAGCAAGATTTCTGGCTCTCACAGACCTGTAACTTCTTCTTTAAGAGGCTCCTCTGTCCTCCACTCGTTACCTGTATTAATGGCACCTGTTTGAACTTGTTATCAGTATAAAAGACACCTGTCCACAACCTCAAACAGTCACACTCCAAACTCCACTATGGCCAAGACCAAAGAGCTGTCAAAGGACACCAGAAACAAAATTGTAGACATGCACCAGGCTGGGAAGACTGAATCTGCAATAGGTAAGCAGCTTGGTTTGAAGAAATCAACTGTGGGAGCAATTATTAGGAAATGGAAGACATACAAGACCACTGATAATCTCCCTCGATCTGGGGCTCCACGCAAGATCTCACCCCGTGGGGTCAAAATGATCACAAGAACGGTGAGCAAAAATCCCAGAACCACACGGGGGGACCTAGTGAATGACCTGCAGAGAGCTGGGACCAAAGTAACAAAGCCTACCATCAGTAACACTACGTCGCCAGGGACTCAAATCCTGCAGTGCCAGACGAGTCCCCCTGCTTAAGACAGTACATGTCCAGGCCCGTCTGAAGTTTGCTAGAGTGCATTTGGATGATGGTTTTTCTGCAAAGGGACCAGGACGACTGATCCGTGTAAAGGAAAGAATGAATGGGGCCATGTATCATGAGATTTTGAGTGAAAACCTCCTTCCATCAGCAAGGGCATTGAAGATGAAACGTGGCTGGGTCTTTCAGCATGACAATGATCCCAAACACACCGCCCGGGCAACGAAGGAGTGGCTTCGTAAGAAGCATTTCAAGGTCCTGGAGTGGCCTAGCCAGTCTCCAGATCTCAACCCCATAGAAAATCTTTGGAGGGAGTTGAAAGTCTGTGTTGCCCAGCGACAGCCCCAAAACATCACTGCTCTAGAGGAGATCTGCATGGAGGAATGGGCCAAAATACCAGCAACAGTGTGTGAAAACCTTGTGAAGACTTACAGAAAACGTTTGACCTGTGTCATTGCCAACAAAGGGTATATAACAAAGTATTGAGAAACTTTAGTTATTGACCAAATAATAATTTTCCACCATAATTTGCAAATAAATTCATAAAAAACCCTAGAATGTGATTTTCTGGAGAAAAAAAATCTCATTTTGTCAGTCATAGTTGACGTGTCCATATGATGAAAATTACAGGCCTCTCTCATCTTTTTAAGTGGGAGAACTTGCACAATTGGTGGCTGACTAAATACTTTTTTCCCCCACTGTATCTTCATCAACCAGGTAATCAAGAGTTATTTGTGGCTGTTTAGCAAAGTTAGCTGGCTAATATACCTGCTTTCTGGAATACCCCACTGTATGACCTGGGCCCGGTTTCCCAAAAGCATCTTAAGGCTTAGTTAATCATAAGAACCTTCGTAGGAGCATCCTTAAACCTCAGAGCTGTTTCCAAAAACCATTGTTACTAAAGTAGCACTTGAAAACACTCGTTAATAACCGACTGCCTTAGACCACGTGTAGAACAGTTAAGTGAGCCTTTAGAAAAGAAAGTGTCCTTCCGCTAAACATAGAATCAAGATGTTTATCGGTCTCTCTGTGACCACCGATAACTTCAGAACGAAGTTGACTACAAATACAAAGCTGCAAAGGATAAATAGATGCTGCAAATTCAAACCTAGATGACTGCACTAAAATATAAATACATGGAGTCACATGGCCATGGCTTGCTATATAAAGCAGGCAGACAGGCATCAAGTCATTCAGTTGCGGTTTGATTGAATGTGAGAATGGGCAAAACAAGTGACCTAAGCGACTTTGAGCGTAGTATGATGGTGGGTGCCAGGAATGCCGGATTCAGGATCTCATAAACGTCCATCCTCCTGGGCTTTTCACGCACGACAGTGTCTAGGGTTTCCCGAGAATGGTGCGACAAACAAAACACATCCAGTCAGCGGCAGTCCTATGGGCGAAAACTGCTCATTGATGAGAGAATTGCAAGAATCGTGCAACCTAACAGGCGAGCCATAAACAGACAAATAACAGCGCAGCACAACAGTTGAGCCATCCTGCCTGGTGTCAACGGTACAGGTTGGTGGCGGTGGTGTACCGCCGTCCAATCTGCAGCAACTATGTGATGCCATTACGTCAGCATGGACCAACATCCCTGTGGAATGTTTCCGACTTGTAGAATCCATGCCCCGAATAATTCAGGTTGTTCTGGAGGCAAAGGGGGGGTCCGACTCTGTACTAGATGGGTGTACCTAATAAACTGGTCGATCATATTGACAACAATTTCATGTTCATTCAATTGTCTTCTATTTTGCCAATTGTAGGCTACCATCTAATTTCTGCCTCAACATATCTCATGACGTGTAACGTGCACAATGATCTGTGTATTATTATACGGTAACCGTTAGAATAAGCCGCCTCAATATTTTCAGACATTGCAGACTAGTCAAAAGTTTGGACACACCTACTCATTCAAGGGTTTTTCATTATTTTTACTACATTGTAGAATAATAGTGAAGACATCAAAACTATGAAATAACACATATGGAATCGTGTAGTAACCAAAAAGTGTTAAACAAATCAAAATATATTTTATATTTAAGATTCTTCAAAGTAGCCACTCTTTGCCTTGATGACAGCTTTGCACACTCTTGGCATTCTCTCAACCAGCTTCATGAGGTAGCCACCTGGAATGCATTTCAATTAACAGGTGTGCCTTCTTAAAAGTTAATTTGTGGAATTTATTTCCTTCTTAATGCGTTTGAGCCAATCAGTTGTGTTGTGACAAGGTAGGGGTGGTATACAGAAGATAGCCCTATTTGGTAAAAGACCAATCCATATTATGGCAAGAACAGCTCAAATAAGCAAAGCGAAACGACAGTCCATCATTACTTTAAAAGACATGAAGGTCAGTCAATCCGGAAAATTCAAGAACTTTTTAAAAGTTTCTTCAAGTGCAGTGGCAAAAACCATCAAGCACTATGATGACTGGCACTCATGAGGATCGCCACAGGAAAGGAAGACCCAGAGTTACCTCTGCTGCAGAGGAGAAATTCATTAGAGTTACCAGCCTCAGAAATT